CTTCATTTCACCGCCAAAGTGCGGAGCAGTCAGTTTACATGAGTTGACATTAGGGTCCGAACGTCTGCACTGTTGAACACAGCATTTTAGCTGCACATAGTTGGAAAGCACCGAATTTTTCATTGTGTTATACAGTGTCACCTTTGCACTTTGCTGGATAGCACCTTCATGTACTGGCAGCTCATTTCGATTTCACTTCTTTTTCTACTTTCTTGAATTTTTTTAGGGTGATCTTCTATTTTTCTGTGATTACTCTTTAAGTCCTCCACTTTTTCATGCACTTGGCGTAACTTTTTTACTTTTTTGAAGTTTTTTATAGGGTTAATAAAGGCCGACGTAAACCTGCACACTCGCAGTCTCACTTTTTTTGGAAGTGTTCGGAAACCGTTTTGAAAGTGTTTTGAAACCGTTTCCGGTTTCCGACAATTTCCTCCTACGGAGTAGTGACGGTCGAACCGATGCGTTAGCACCTTTCTCCGTCACCTGCACTCTTCATTTATGCTAAACCCTTACGCCGTGGCTTATTGTTAGTTCACGAAACGAGAGGTATCCGATCGCCGGGCCTCCACGATCTCCTAGCCTGGAGAGAAGCCTCCCAAGCATACCGCTTCGGCTTTCTCCCCCTGTGAGGCGAAACGTCCCCTTCGACTATTTCAACCTCCCTTCGCGGTAGACTCGGTGTGGGCTATGCATCGTGCGTGCGTGCGTGCGTGCGTGCGTGCGTGCGTGCGTGCGTGCGTGCGTGTGTGTGTCCTAATCTAAGTTCCGCGCCCGCCTAGCGATCGCAACAGTGGCGACTAACTGAGTCGGCACCCCGTTCGCGAAAGTCCACCCGCCGGACTTACCGTGACAAGTTTTCCAAAAAAACCACGTTTTCGTTTGTTAATACTGCCCACGTAAAGAGAAAACATCAGCATTGATCCTTAACGTACCGAGAACAAACCTGGTGATTTTAATCACCCTCCGAGGTGTGGAAGTGCTCCTTCACGAAGGGGGTTGAAAAGTGTTGACCTATTCCGCCCCTTCAAGGAGTGCCTATGTAGCGCACGCCGTGAGCGTTGGCATTTCCTGGATCGTGGAATTCCAGGGAATGCATTGAGACTAAATTCGGGACTGTCGTCCAAAAATTGTGAATTTTGGAGGGGGTGGGGGGTTGTAAGGGGTGGTGCTTAGACATTGCGTGTTCGGAGGGTTCTGAGTTAATTTCAGCACACACCTGGTTTCTTAAATTAACGTTTATTAACACAAGTCAGTCAGATAAGTGACGGAAAACACAAGATATACACTATGTACAAGAGCGCACTACGCAAAGAATGTACAATATTTATAGACAAAAAAAAAGAGAGAAACACTGATTGTACAAAGCGCGTAGACTATGGAGTTTGAAAATGAGAAGACTGAATAACTGGCGTTAACAGTAAACTGATAATGGCGTCTCCCATGCGACATGCCGGCTACCGCGTGGTGAGAACGCTGCGTGTACAAAGAGGGCCCGGGAGGTGCTGCCGCCATCGGTAACGCCACACCTGCGAGTTAAGATCGCGATCGGCGCGCGATATGGACGCTGATTCGCCAACAGGTGGTCTTATCTGAGAGGGATTCCAGGGGGTGCATTTTGCAGAGAGTATGAAGGAGAGTCGCTCTGATGTTTTTTTATTTTATTTTTTCGACCCCTTCCGTCATCCCTGGTCCCTTGAGAAGTGACGTTTTTCTGCACCCTCTTTACGGGGGGGGGGGGATTAACCCCTTCGCAGCAACCCCCACCAGTACAACTTTGCACACACCCAGAGGACACTTCCAACTTACTCCTAGCGAAGTTTCACGAAAATGGGTTGAAAACTCCCATATTTACGAACGTTTAAGAAACTATTGTAAATAAAATTGTGAAATGAACTTTAATTAGATTTTGGTTAAGGGAGCCCACCACTACCATTGTCGTCTTTTCAATGTGGAGAATACGGTAGTCCTGTCTGGTTAATTATATTATAAAAACACAAAATTTTATAAACGGAATGATTTTTCTAATTTGATGCCTAGGGCAAGCTCTAAAATTCAGTACGATTGCTGTCTATGTCCTTTTGACTGTGAAGAGCATATATACGAGGTATTTCTTAAAATTTGGGCGATTTTTGGGAGATAAAGTTCTGACACCAGTACAAATCCAAAAGTCCTTTATCAATTCGCGAACTGCAGCTTCGTTATCGAGATATAAGCAGTTGAAATTTGTAGGTGTGACTTCCGGCGTAGGCAGTTTGAATCTCTGTTAGCTATTCGCGCGACCGCAACTGTACACTCCCATATAGTGTTTAACTATTAATGAATAATATGAAGAATATGAATGTCCTTTATATCTAACATCGTATACATAAGAGGATCCCCCCGCATGGCGTTTTACACACACTACTTACGTACGTATACATACGACTGTGTCACGCGACACAGTATCACAATACAGTAACATCCCCTTTTTTAAATATAACAATTTACAATTAAATATAATTTTATATAATATAAAACTGAATACAGAAGAAATGTAATACAACGACGGTAACATACAAATATTTGTTTGAATAGAAATCTATATACCCTTCAAAGTTTGGGACAAAATCTTTTAGGTTGTTTGGCTACTCTCCCTAATTTCATATTATAATGTATATTATCAGGTTTGTCCTCGCTGTGCTCCAGTCGTCTGTCAGTTTGTTCATTATGTCTGATGATGTCTTTGCGGTGGACGAAGGTCGTTGATCCACCCGTCGTTGAAGTCATGTTTGTGACAACTTTCATTACTTATGAATTTTAGGTGTACTCTGTGCTTTCTGTAGACATTACCATCTCTATCTTCTATTATGTACGACCTTTGACATTTTAGTATCTGTTTTAAAATTGATGGTGACCAACAGGAGGCTGGTGTCTTTTTAAAAATTACATGGTCCTCAGGTTGTAACACTGGGAATTTCGTTTTATTTCTCTCATAATAGTATTTGCTTCGATTTCGGTTTTTTTAAAAAGCCATTTATGTATTTAAATGTTTCTAAACATTAGTAGTTGAGCGAATGAGTAAAAATTTGTTTTTGGTGTGTTGCCGTATTGTAACAATGCCATATATTGATCTGTGTTTGATTCAAGACTTGTTTTAAAGATATTTTTGATTATGTTAACAGAACTTTCGGCCTGACCATTGGATCTTGGATTATATTGACTTGTAATGACATGTTCAATGTCCTAATTGTATAAAAATGACTTAAATTCTGCAGAATTAAAGGGTGGTACCTCATCAGATATTAAAAACATTGGTATGTCGTGATGTGCAAAAATAGAGATTAGGTGAATTGTTATATTTTTGGCCGTATATTGGCTATTAAGTGCCGCAACCTCTGTGCACTTAGAGTCAGTGATGCTAGTCGGGACGCATTAATGACCGCGGCTAGAATGACCGTTAACAGTGTCGTATCTACGGTAACAGGAGTGCTATGGTTATTGTTGTGGTTATGAGCGCGAAATCATGAATATATTTGTCTGTATTACTTATATATTGTCTATACTTTTATATTTTCTCTATATATTGTCCTATCTTTATCCTTAAGGGGATAGACCCGGGTAATGCAGCGAGATGACATTACCGGCAAAAATGGGCCTAAAAAGGAGTTCGCGATTTTTCGCTGTTCGTCCTTATATATGTATTTATTTGATGCATCTCTAAGGGGTTTGCATGGCCCCTTCTATTTACACTTCCTTACTCCTTAAACTTACCTTAATCTTACATTACCTTATCCTAACTTATTCTATCCTTACCCTATCCTTATCCTACACTTAATCTCTATATACAAAAACAAAAAACAAAAAACGCGAGAGAGAGAGAGAGAGAGAGAGAGAGAGAGAGAGAGAGAGAGAGATGCATTGCGCCCCCGCTTCCGGGGCATTCCCCACCCTTCCCGATCCTCCTTCCTTCAACCACTCCCCACATCCATTCTTATCCTCTCTAACTCTTTCATCCATCATTCTCCCCTCCCCGACTCGCACAAAATTTCCCTAATCCTTTCCTCTATCCCCCTCCCTTCTTCCTCCCCCCTGCTCTCACGCGCTGCTCCAACACATGCTTCCACGTCTACCCCCCCCCCGCACAAACCCTCTCCTCCTCCCCAGCCAATACCTCGCCTCTCTAAGCTCCCCCCCCATCCTTTACCTCATGATCCTTTTCCATCTACCCTCTCCCCGCCCTTCCTTTAAATACTCCGGGATCCCTTCCACCCTGATCTCTTTATACCACCTGTTATACCTCCATTCCCCCGCCTTTTCGTCTCTCTCCCTGCTCTCTTCTTCCTTATCTACCCTTTACACTTTCTTGTACTCAATCCCTCCCTCCTCTCTAATCCTTTCCATCTCTTCCCCTGTCTATCTCTTCCCCTATCCATCCTCTGTTCTCAAAGAACCTCTCCCTCTCCTCTTCCCACCTCCCCCTTCTTCCCCTTCTCTTCCTCAGC